CATTTTCAGAGGCAGGAAAATTTTCAAAACCATCTTACCCTGTCTGCTGCCTCCCACTACAGGTTCCTCCAAAACTGCAGAACTGACCTCTGGCCAACCCATCACACTCTCGGGCATTGACCAACAATCTCCATGCCCCATCGCAAAAATGTTTGCGCGTTCGTGTTTATTGCTGAACTAGTCACAGAGCAAGGACATGGAACCAGAACAGATGTCCATCAACAGATGGATGGATGATGCAAATGGGGTGTATTTATACACAGAACGCTACTCAAGCAGTTTACAAATGAAATTGTGAGCTGTGTTCAGGAAAATGGGTAGACCTGGAAAGTATAACACTACACAAGGTGATCCAACCCCAAAACATGTTCTCTGTCACATGCCAATCACAGCCGGCAATGCATTCATGCGCATGTGTAAAAAGGAGTCGCTCCATACAGCCTACAATTTAAAAAGGAGATCAAGAGAATATTAGGTGATAAGAAAGGGTGGAATGTAGGCCAAAGGTCACAGGAGGCTTGAGAGAGGAACATTTTTTTCTTAGTTTCAGTTCTGTCATAGTTGTTTTGCATGGAGGATATGTAAAGTCAATTGTGTTCTGAGTTGCATTTTTTGCATTCCAAAAGAATACATTTTTTAAAAAGTTGTTTATGGCCAGGAAGTGGTGGCACGCGCCTTTAATCCCAGCACTCAGGAGGCAGAGGCAGGTGGATCTCTGAGTTCGAGGCCAGCCTGGTCCACAAGAGCAGGTCCAAGACAGTCAGGGATGTACAGAGAAGCTCTGTCTCAGAAAAAAAAAAAAAAAACATTTATGTATATGAATGTGTGTATGTGTATGTATTGTGTGTGTCTGTGTGTGCACACCTGCATGTGTGTGTGCATGTGTGTCTGTGAGCATGGAGGTGCCCCAGGGAACCACAACATGGTCTCTCTCTTCCCAGGGAACTCTAGCCTGAGTCTGGTTGGCAAGCACTAACCAGCAGTATCTTTGCCCCATGTCCCCTCCCTGTCACATGAGCCCGGCTCACACCCTCTTCACTCCATGCCCCAAAGAAAGAAACTTGAAATTTGGCATATAAACAAGTTTATTGTTAAAAAAACAAAACAAAACAATGCGACATTTGATACAGAGAAAGACATAAAGGGTCTCAGCTGTTTAAAAAGGTATTTGTTCTGATGCCTCCTGTTCTCTGGGGCAGGTGCCAGTCTCCATAAGATGGAGGCAGTTTCCCCCGGGGGTGGGGGAACCCCACATTCTTGCTCCTGGACATTCCCTCTGCCATTCCTACCTGACAAAGACTGAGACCCTCCAAGTTCCTCTCTATAGGACAGAGAGTGAGGACATACCCGAGTCACAAGCCCTGGCCCGGGCCCTCAGCGTGGCAGTGGCTTGACCTTCTGTGATGCTGTGTGTGGGTCTGTCTGCAGACTCGGGCACTGGGGGCTGGGTTGCCAGCTGGTGGCCTTTGAGGAACTGTGTCCTGAAGGCTCTCACATCATGATGCGTTAATCCCTTGGTGACTGTATAATAAGAGAGCATTCTCCGAGGTGGGAGGAGGAGGTCAGTCTTCACTGGAGAAAAGCACTTCCCCAGAGTGTGCTTTTGAAGGCCGTGTTTTGTCTCTTGCCCCTTTCCTGCCTATTTAATCCCACTTCTGGGTCACCATGCTCCTGCTCTGACATTCTGTCTCAGTTCTGGCCCACAAACAACACCGTCAAGTGACCTTGGGCTAAAATGATCTATGAGCCAAAATAAACCCTTTGGGGCTTATCACAGTGACTCAGAAGTCTAACTGTCCCTGGGGACTCAGGCTCCTCACTCAGGCATGGGTGGGCAGCAGAAGCCGTGGTGATACTGGAGTCCCCTTACCCGGTTCTCCCAAGTGGACAGTGCCAGACTCCCAGGACAGGGGAACAGCTTGGGGGTTCTCACTCCTGCCTAACCCAGCCCTTACCTTCTGCACTCACAAGGCAACAGGATCTCACCTATCCCAGGCTGGTTTGACCTTGTCATGTAGCCAAGGATAGCCTTGAGTTCTTGGTCCTCCTGCCGCCACCTTCCAAGTGTTAGGATTACAGATGTGTTCCACCATTCCCAGCTTATGTGGCACTGGGCATGGAACCCAGGGCTTTTGCATGGTGGGCAAGTGCTCTAGCAGTTGAGCTACAGTCCCATAATGCACCATAATCAGCCCATGGAGGCCTCTGTGATGCTCAGCCAAAGACCACACATACACACACACACACACACACACGCACACACACACACACGCACACACACACACGGTGTCTATGTACACCTGCACTCTCAATGGAAACTCCCAGCTGTTCATATGGACTCAATTGTGTTTAACAAATATAGATGTTTACCACTCAACAGAAAGGGACAAAAAGATATATAGACTTCCCTTAAAACCCCAGGCATTGAAACAACACAGGACTTGAACAAGCTCACCCTTAGAGGTCAAAGAACGAACAGAGTGTCATTAATTTGGGGTCCTGTCCATGGTCACACACAGACATGGCCATTGCCTGGGATGCACGTAAATATACCCACAATGTTGGTTGGCTGGAGGAACAGAACATCGGAGCCACCCCCACCCCCATGGCTTGTTAGATCACAGTGAAGCATACGCAGATCACTTGCCAGGATGTCTTGTTGGTGACAGCAGTGATGAACTGACATCTTGCTCAGCTAGGAGCTGAAGAATTCTCGGGGTTCCTCACACCCATCTCTAAGTGTGAGGAGCCTGCAGTCGGCGTGAACAGCCTGCAGAAGGCAGGATTTGGTATTCCTGGAAGACATCTGCCCCTTACATCTTCCAGGAACACATTGATTCCTGCTCCTCTTCCCAGAGGCCGCATCCTTGCAAGGAATCTTTAGATACCTGGAGGGCCAGCTCTGCTGTGTGGTGGGAAGGGCCGGAAGCAAGGCAGCTGTGTGTCTAGAGAGCCCGCATGGGATGCGGCATGAGGAAAACAAAAGATACCAACTGAATGGTGGTGCAGCGAAGTTAGCCCGGTTCTGAAGGGCTCAAGGTAAGTGCAGCCAGGGCTGAGTCCAGAACAGATGACTCTCATCTGCAGCTGCGCATCCCTGGCCGCTGCAATTAAACTGGGCCCAGACAGGGCAGTGCAGACCCACCCTGACTGACTGCCGGCTCGGGTTGGGTTCTGACTAACTCCTGAATGCAATCCTTTCCCTCGTGGATATGCTGCCAAACCAAGCCTTGAGCATGTCTTCAAGTGCCAAGGTCCCTGGGCAACGGCACAACCTTGGGGACTGAGGCTCTGGTGCAGAACTGCCTGCCTCAGGAGCATTGGGAGCTGGAGGGCGGGAGAGCAGAGAGTGGAGGGGCCTGTTTCCTCCAGTTTGGCCAGCAGACAGCCTCATGACCCATGCAATCTGTGACACCTGGGACAGCAGTTTGTTCAGGCCCTTGGTTCCTCTGGAGAGTCATTCCCAGGGCAGGCAGGTGCTGACCACTTTGGCCAACTAATGTGACTTCATTCCACAACTGTGGCTCGTCCCCTGACACTGGATGTTGCCAGGTGGTTTTTTTCTACCAACGGACTGAGGCCTGCGGGAGCCCCAGATGTTTAAGATAAAAACACAGCTGGGGATCTGCTGCACATCCACTCTGTGGTGTCTGCACATACTCTGTGGGGCTGCACACACTCTGTGGGGCTGCACACACTCTCTGGTGTCTGCACACACTCTGTGGGGCTGCACACACTCTGTAGGAGACAAAAAACAAAATTCCTGAAAATGAAATTCCAAGAAATAGCCCCAGTTAGGTTTTCTGGAAGCTTCTTCATTCCCTTCTCCACCACACACTCCTGGCCCTAGGTCAGGATGGAAGAAGAAAGGAATTAGGCAACCAAGAACGGGGAGATCAAGCCCTTGGGGGAAAGGGCCAAGGTACTGGTCCAAGAACAGGGAGCTCTGAGTTCACTGAGAATTTGGGGACCAAAGTGAGAAGAGGGTTTTATGGAGCGAGGAGAAGCCGGGAATATGGGCTGGAGAGATGGCTCAGTGGTTAAGAGCACTGTCTGCTCTTCCAGAGGACCCAGGTTCAATTCCCAACACCCACATGGCAGCTCACAACTGTCTGTAACTAGTTCCAAGGGATCTGACACCCTCATACAGACACATATGCAGGCAAAACACCAATGTATGTAAAATAAGGAAAAAAATCATAAAAAGAAGCAGAAGATTAAGAGGATGGGACCATTTAAATGTAATCAATTCGCAGGAACATTTGCCCAGGACTGGAAATCAGAATCCAGCTTGTGACACCCAGAAGCCCGTCTCAAGCATCCATGTTTGGCTGGAAATGCTAACTGGCATGTCACCCCAAGGGCTCCTTCTGCCATTCATATGTCCCTATGTCCTTCCCACGAAGGGTTCTTTCAGGGAGCCTGACTTTGCCATGGGATGCCCTTGTGGGTCCCCTGAAAACAAACAAACAAACAAAAATCAGGTTCCCGGGGTGCTGGGAACGGGTTCTAGAATCTAATAGTTTCTGGTTGCCACTGGACTTATTTCAAATCATCAGTCACTGAGGTCCCACCGGCAGCAAAGTGGGTTGTCACCAGGAAAAGGTGTGACCTGCACGGAGTTTAGTATCTGCTTGTCCGCAGGCGACACCTGAGAGCCACCCAAGCAAGAGGCAGGCTTCCACTTCTGCTGTTTCATCCCCCCACCCCCCGTCCCTGTCCCCTACCCCGTGGGAACGATGGGGATGCAGGCAGCAGCATCCACTGGCTCTGAGCCAGCCCAGGGAGAATGCCTACTAGGTCAGAGATCCCCACGGTGGCGGCAGGGACCTTACTTCACTGGGGGAGCCTAAAGGAAGGAAGGCTGTGTCCCACACACAAGTGACCATACTTCCCCCTCTCCCCAGAGACCTCTCTTCCCAGCCTCAGATCCCCACGTCCAGACAGGCAGGAAACTGGCCGAGGCTGTCTTCTTAACACTGTAATCAACTCAACGTGAGTCGTTTGCAAGCAACAATTTCTTTTAATGGAAAATAGAAAATTCAGGTATCCCAGGTCCCAAGGCTGAGAACTCCTTCCTGAGACACTGCTTGCCGTGGACAATGGTCCACAAGGTCTGAAGAGCAGTCCTGACTCTGAGCTTCACTCCTTCCTAACCCCGGGGCAGAAGGGGAAAGGGCAACACAGGTGCACGCCAAAGGACACTGACAATGTCTCCTGCCAGCCTTCCCAACGCGATTAGCGCTTGCTTCCGGAAAGAAAATCTTTGGTATTTCCCCACACTGGCCTCCCCTGTGCAAACCCCCCACAGATAGAGGCCAGTCATTCTTCTGAGTAAGAACAGGACATTCTAGGCTCAGGCTGGGCAGTGACTCACTGTTATTCAGAACGGTGACACAAAGCCTGTTCACCCTCTCTCCCGAGTCATGCAAGGCCTTCGGAGGGCTGAGTCCTAAAGAACAGACGAGAACGCACTGGGGCTAAGAAGCCAGAGAGGCAGACCAAAAAAACAAAGGAACGACATTTGGCACTAAACTTGCCGCCTGGGTGGAATGTGAGTGGTGGCGCGTGGGCTCCCCCACATGGCCAAAGGTGGAAGCTCACCCGCAACTACCTGTGACGCTAGCCAGAAAAGTGAGCAGCAAGCCCAGCCAGAAAAGGACCCCAAGGGCATTCATTATGTGAACTTTCTGCCCAGGGTAGCTCTCTTGCAAGAGAGGTGTTCTGTCAGTCTGGGTCACTGGAGGCCAGAGAAAGCAGAATTTCAACAAGAGTGCCTTTCATACAGAGCCCCTAGCTCAAGCTACACTGTGCACGCATCTCTAGTGAAAGTGAGGGTCTTTCCCATGTTCTGCCTGGGAGAAAAGTACGATCAATCAAAAGCAGAGAAACAGATTTCCTGATGCTCCTCATCAAACGAAAGCCCCTCTCTGGGAAAGTTCTGAAAGACACCGAGACTGTGTGACTGACACAGCGTGACTGTGACCCAGGGGCCATGGTAGCCCTTCTATGCCCTCCCTTGTCCACGTGACCAAACCGGAGGCTGAAACAAAACTACCTGTGCCCTGAGAAGGTTGCTCTACACTGTCGGCTTTCTTTAAAAAAAAAAAAAAAAAATTAAAAATTCGGAGGCCCCGGAGGAGGCTGGATTTAGGAGCTGCCTATCCTGTTCCCAGTGGTACCAGGTTAAGGATGAAGAGAGGTCTGGAGGAGACACAGGCAGAGTCAGCTGCCAGGCTTGGAGCCCAAGAGAGGTAGCGTGAGAAGGCCTAGATGCAGCCTGCCCCCTGGTGTAGGGAACTGGCCATACATGCCCCAGAAAGAAGCTGTGAGCTGTAATCCCCACCCCCAGGAGCAGACAGAGAGCCCTATCTAATAGATCAGAAACACCTGATGGCCCAGTGATGGCGGAACAGTCCTCGTGGGGGAAGGGGAGCCTGGGTCTTTAGATTTTGGAGGGTGGGGGGACCTTTCTGACATGGCAGTGTCTGTAGCTGCCCCTCCTTAGTGTATAGGGGAAGGCTGAGGGCAGTGGCTATCAGGCACAGAGCAGGCAGACGCTGCCTGAAGGAGGACCAGGTGTCAGCTAGATGCACGGAGGGATGAAGGGATTCCAGAAGAGGCAGACTGCCGGAGGGAGCAGTCTCAGGACTGGTTCTACTCTTGCCTGGCTCAGAGCACTGCATTCTCCAGGAGTCTCTCCACCAACTCTGGCCCCTCTTCCTGCAGGAGCCAGTGAAAGGATCGCTGTCTTATTCTGTGTTGTAGATAGTGATGAGGGTCTTTTTCCTGATGGGTTTGAAGGCATCTCCACAGCAGAAGTCCGAGTTCTGCCTTGTTTTTGTGTCTAGGCACCATAATTACACAGAACCAGGGGGCCCGGGAAGCAGGGTAGAATTTTGTCCTCCCTTCTCTGGGGCCTGATTCTGGCACCAGGCTCTGGAGAGCTGGGGCACATTGAGCGGGTGACAGGAAGCTGGAGAGTGACGTAGGCCAGGTGCTCCTGTCATCCCAGAAAGGCCTCGTAATCCATGTACCAAACCAGCTGCCCGGAAAGAGGCAGTACGCCTGAGATGGGCCACTTCTTGGGCTCATGGCCCACACGGCTCACCAGCGTGGTGATCTCACGTTTTGTCCTCCCCATGACCAGGACAGCTACCTTCTTGGCACGGTTGATGAGGGGCAGGCTGAGGCTCATGCGCTGGTGGGGCCTGAACGGGCTCTCCGTCAGCACCACCAGCTGATCGCCATCTAGGCCAGCGGGGGACTGCGGGAAAAGGGAGGCCGTGTGCCCGTCGGTGCCCATGCCCAGCAGTACCAGGTCAAAGCTGCTGTTAGCCACCAGGGCTGAGATCTCCCTGGCGTAGGACTGGGCGCCCTGGTCCTCTTCAGCACAGAGCCGCTGGTGCAGGTGCACCGGCATGGGGTGTATGTTGTAGTAGGGAACCCTGACATGCTGCAGCAGGTGAACCTGCAGGCCCTGGAAGTTGGACTCTGGGTCTGAGAGCGGGACACAGCGCTCATCAACCAGCCACAGGTGTGTGTGGGCCCAGGGGAAGCTGTAGTGCCCCATGGCCAGCTCCTGGAAGAGGGCAATGGGGCTCGACCCGCCTGACAATGCCAGGTGGAACTTGCCAAAGAGCCGTACGGACTGCACTGCGGTGGCTTCGATGTCACTGGCTAGCCTAGAGATCAGCTCCTCTGGCCAAGCAGTGACCAGTGGGCTCTGTCTGTACTGGGCCCCGAGGACCTGGAAGTCACTGGGCTTTGGGACTGACCCTAACTCTGGCATCAGCACCTCTAGCTGCTGCTGGGAGAAGGCCAGCTGGCCACCACTGAACTCAAAATCCAACAAATGGCCATTCTCTGCTCCCCCTGGGTAGAGGCGTGGCACTTCGAGGGCCAGGCTGTCCAGTAAGGGGGTCCAGAAGACCCAGGAGGCCAGCAGATTCTCTGTGGTGATGAAGGACTCCTTTCGGCCATGGAAGATGTGAGACAAGAGGGTGGAGTAGGCATCTTGCTCCCGCACAGGTCTGTAGGCATAGTAATCAGACAGAGGACGGCCGAAAAGGCGGAGCCCAGGCTCGCCCTGCACCTCCTTCCAGCTCTGGGTAGGTAGATGAGGCTTGAACAGGTTCTGGCTGACCAAGATGGTGGGGTGGCCCAGCTCTCCGTGTCCGATGTGGAAGACAATCTGCTGGGGCAGGCACCGACTCTGCTCCGACGCCCAGCGCCTCTCGCTCTGGGTGCAGTACGCCCGGTTCTTAAACAAGATCCGAACGTAGCCCACTCTCTCATCCAAGGCCTTGCCAGACATCAGGATGAAAGGCACACCCTCCCAGCGCAGGTTGTCAATGTAGACGAGGACACCTGGGGTGGGGAGAGAGCAGACAGTGCTACCACAGCCTGGAGCCCGCAAAGCCGCCCACCCTGCTTCCCGGGCCCCTGCCCAGACTGTCTTGCTGTGCCTTCAGCCTTCTGCTATTTCTTCTTCCCAGGCAGGGATGGAAACAGCCAGTGGGGTTCATTCTATGGCCATAACACAGCCCTCTGAGGTCCCTCTGAGAGACCTGGTCTGACTAGCCTTGGAGCCTGCCATGGAAGGCTCTCTGCTGGGACAGAGGAGGTGAGAGGCAGGTTGGATCTTGATGGGGAAGGGCAGTTCCCTTTGCGTGAGGCCCCCAGAATGCCAAACAAAGTCACGCGTGAGGGGAAGCTAGGTGGGCGGGGGAGGGTAAAAAGGAGTTTGTAGAGTGGGAGTAGTGTGTGTGCGTGTGTGTGCATGTGTGTGTGTGCGTGTGTGTGCATGCGTGTGTGTGCACGCGTGTGTGCGTGCCACAGTCACAGATGTCGGGCGCTGACATACTACACACGAACTCAAGCCTGGCCGAGGCTTTGCCTTTTTGCTTCCCCGCTTGTATCCTCACCGAGGACAACACTGTGCCTGCCTCCAAGGTGTGTGAGTGCTGAGTGAGAAGAGGCACACCCACACACAGCCTGGCACATCAAACAGCCTCTATACAGGGGCTGTCCCATGGCCATAGTCTCTTCCTACCAGGAGCCAGCCGCTCTCCCCAAAAGCTTCTGGAACTTTCCAGGTGGCTCTAGCAGATATCTGCTGGCCAATGTGGTGTCTGTCCACACGGACATTCCCTGGCTGTAACTGGATAAAGGTTTGCCATATAATGGAAGCCATATACACAGCCCATGAAGGTGGCATCTATCTGAGCCCTCAGGAGACCTTTCTGGAACTGAATGGAGGCTGATGTGGGTGACCTGAAGCTTTAAAATGGAGAAGGCCTGGGGGTGGTAATCACCACGCACTGAGTACTCTTGTAAAGATTCTTGGTTAGTCCGAGCTACCACGCTTCAAAGGGCACTGGGTGGGACAGCTGCATCCTGCTGTCGGTGGACCCACAGCTGGTGGTGGCCTCACGGTTGATGGCCCCACCGCTGAAGGCTCTAATGCCTACCTGCAAAGGTTGGTGTCAGGCTCTGGTAGCTGTCTGGCTTCTGCAGCTCCTGGCGCACCTGCCCACTGTAGGCCTGGTACTGGCCCAGGATGGCGCTGTTCTTCTGCAGCCCCCGCAGGGCCTGGAAGGCCTGGAGCTTGTGCTGCAGCACGGCAGCCGAGCTGCTGATGTTGTGGGGCAGCTCCATGGCCACCAGCGTGAGGATCTCCGTCAGATGGTTCTGCAGCGTGTCACGGATGACGCCGTACTCCTCGTAGAAGCTGGCTCGGCCTGAGTGACAAGGGGGCTGTCAGCAGGGCCCTCATGGTGGTGAGACACTACAGTCCCCCGTCACTCGTCCGCACATCTCATTCCTTCATCTGAAGAACCTACGACAAGGTGTGCCGCTGCAACCTCAACTTGAGACAGCAAAGGGGACAGCTGGGGAAACGTCCCTCCATCAAGAACCACTCTCAGAAAAGGGATCATCCCACTGGGCTGCTCTAGTCTCAGGGCTAGGCAGAAAACATCCATGTATCTTGGCTGGCCTCCTTGCCGCCCTCCCTCCCTGGGCACTGACCAACAGCGGAGGGGGGTAACCTGGCCAGGACGAGAGGAGGGTAGGATGGCAGAGAACAGACTAGGTGCTCTGACATCCACCTCCGAGTGTGCGTTGCTTAGTTAACTGGTTGGGTATCTGACCACTCAACAGAAACAAAAACTCCACCCATGATCCACTGCTAGAGTCCACTGAGCCAGGGCACATGGGAATGTGAAAAAGGGGAAAGAAGAACAAGGAAATAAAACTGTGAGCTATGACAGAGGGTCGTGGAAGGCTCCTCTGAGACCAGAGCACTGCAGGTGAAGAGACCCTCAAGTGCACAGTTCTGAGGCAGAAGAGACAGGGCCTGCTGGGGCTGGACCACGAGAAACAAGGAGATAGCAGAGATGAGGTTGGAGCAGAGTTGGGGTCCTATGGGATGAGGTAAAGGGACAGTTCTGTGGACTCCAAGGGAAGCCCCTGGACGACCTCAGTGGAGCAGGCCTGAGTCACACTGAGAGCAGGGTCCTGGCCTGCTGTGTGGCAAGGCGGCGGAGGCCGGAAGATGGAAGGGAGGGCCAGGCTTCCGCTAGAGCAGTGGCCCCAGGAGCTAGAGTCATTTCCGTCTGGAACTGACTGCACTGGCCAACAGAAGAGGACAAGGCAAGGAGGGGGCAAAGACAGACCCTCAGACTGGGCCTAAGCAACAGGGGGGCCGGCGGTAACACAGCGATGGGAGAATGCTAACTGATTCCTGTGTACTCTCAGCGCCTAGGGGCTTGGGCCTCCAATACTGCAGGCCTGCCTTCTCCAGCCCACCTGATGCTGGCCGTTCAGGTCTGCACCTGAGGCCCACGGTGGGGACAGAGCTGTCGTGTGCCTGCTACTTCAGCTATTGCCACCTTCACACGAAAGACCGTGGAAGGGATGAATGCACACATCCTGGTCCATGATATCACAAGAAGACAGCATTGCTTTGATTGAGAAGGAACTTATTTGGAGAGGATCAAGGGGCTGAAAAGATGGGTCAGTAGTTAAGGGGATCAGAGTTCAATTCCTGATACCCACAGCAGTCGGCTCACACCTGCCTGTAACGCCAGCTTCAGGGGTTGCACCTGGCAGCACCCTCTTCTGGCCTCTGAGGGTAGCAGCACAATCATGTGCGTACACAGACGTGAGTGCAAACACATGCCCACGCGCGCGCGCACACACACACACACACACACACACACAAAAGTCAAGTCATAATAAATAAATAAACAGGCTATGAACTGGCTCACACGGGCAGGATTTCAATAAGCATCATCACTGAAGTAGGGGTTAATTACAGATCAGAAGGGGCCGGGAGAGTCAGAGTAGAAGGGACACGTGAAGCTGCAAAGGAGGGCAGGATGAGAGCTGAAAGGAAGGCTGGGTGGAGCCTGGCAGCAGAATCTTACCCAGCACACATGTGGCCCTGGGCTCCAACCTCAGCACCACAAAGAAGAAACAAACAAAAGTTGCTGTACCACGTGTGGCTCCGCACTAAAATCTAACAGTGCATTGTTTAAGGACACAGACATCTATGGCAGGAGTAAGGAGAACTGAGAGCTGGCTGAGGTGGGGAAGATGACTCAGCGACATGCGTGTCATGTACACATGAGTATCTCTGTTCAGATTCCCGCCACCCATGTAAGAAGCTGGGCATGGCAGTTCACACCTGCATCTCCAGCCCTGAGGAGGTGGAGGCAGGGGAGCCCTAGCAGCAGCTGGCTGGTCACAAAGAGACCCTAACTCAAATTAAGTACTGTGGGGAATGACTGAGGAAGACACTTGGCTCCCCGCAAGTACACATATGTACACACACGTGTACTTACAAAAATGTACAAACATACAAACAGATGTAAGCACCCTCAAAATTGGGACCAACAGAGAACAGGAATAGGACAGAGTCCAAGGAGACGGGCCCAAGGGCTGTTACCGTGCTTTTAACTGGGGGGAGGCTGTAAGAGTGACCAGTGGAGCCAGGGGCCTGCAGACAGCCTGGCAACCCGAGCTCATTCCGCAGGTCCCAGAAGATGGAAAGTTATCATCTGACCTTCACATGTGTGCCACGGCATGCACACCCCCATACTCGCACATAAATAGGTAAACAAGTGCACTAAAGGGTTTCTGAAGTACAGAACTAGTAGGAAGGGGTTTGGATGTGGAGCAGTGGTGGGATGTTTATTTATCACGCTCGAGGCTCCAGGCTCATTCCCAGGAGGGCAAAATAAAAAATTTAAATTAAAACCCGTTTGCATTGCTCATTACAGAGTTATATTTACCTTGCATGTATTTTCTGAGCACTATTTTACCTGGAATCTAGTTAATATTTAATGCAAACAGATAGAGGGGAGGCAATCCCAGGTTAGACTTGTGGAGCCGAGCATGCTTGTCCTGAGCAGGCTCCCTGAGTCAGCAGAACCTGCCCTGGAGGAGAGACACCGTGACCATTGGGAACTGAAAAGGGCAGCTGGGGGGCTAGAGAGGTGGTCAGAGGCTAAGAGCACTTGCCACTCTTCCAGAAGATCTGAGTTCAATTCCCACACCCTCAACTACCTAAACTCCAGCACCAGGGGATCTGATGCCCTTTTCTGGGCTCCACAGACATTGTACTCCCCCCCCCGCCCCCTCACACACACACACACACACACACACACACACACACACAGTTAAAAGTAAAAATAGAGACTGGCAGTGGTGGCCCAACCTTTAATCCCAGCACTCGGGAGGCAAACTTCTGTGAGTTTGAGGCCAGCCTGGTGTACATAGTGAGCTCCAGGACAGCCAGGGTTACATATTGAGACCCTCTCTTGAAAAGAAAAAAAAATCCAAAAAATAAAAGTAGAAGCCTTTAGAGATGTGTGTCTTTTAAAAATGGTAGTTTCAGGGAGCTGGAGATGGCAGAATTCGTAGCTCTTACAGAGGACCAGGGTTCAGTTCCCAGCACCCACATGGCGGCTCACAACCATGTTCCAGTTCCAGGGGTCTGACCCGTCTTCTGACTCCCACAGGCACCAGGCACTCATGCAATGCACAGACGTATATTTAAGCAAGATGCTTATATGCATATAATAGAAACAAATAATTTTTTAAAAGGTAGTTGGCATTTTATAAGAAAAGCACAAGGACACCACGAACTGTCCATTTAAAATCGCTGATTCTGGAGAGTGCTGGCGTGGCTTCTGGTGGCCATCCCTGAAGGGTCACCGGAGGTACAAGGTGAGGCAACAACAGACTTCGCCAAGCCCGAGATTCGAACCCTGCTAATTATAGCCTCAGGAAGGAGCTGGCTGCTGGCTCAGCCTGGCACCCTCGATGGCAAGCCCAGCTTCAGAGATGCTCAAACATGAAAACCCTACCTGATAAAATCAATGAATTAGAGCAGATTGAAGCAGAGAGAGGGTGGTTACGGCTTTAAGAACGATGCATTTTTGATGGAGAGAGAGCACCGGCGTCCTTAAAAGCCCGCTTTCTGCTGACTATTCATTAATTTCCTAAACCCCTGAGTGGCCCCTTTCCTATTTTTATCCACCCACTGCTGGATTCTGGGAGATTGTTTGCCTGGGGTTCACTACCTGCCGAATGGAAGAGAGCTGTCTTTATTTCTTCATTGCAGACTCAGGGGTGTGCCTGTGTTAGCACAACCCATAGACTTGTGGTCTTGTGTCTCTGCTCCCAGCGTGGTCAGCTATGAAGGAGCAGGGCTATGGCCTGAGCCACAAGTGAACAAGAAAGAGACCGTGTTTGGGGCTCAGCAGCTGAGCAGCAGATGGAAAGCCAGACACTGGCACTCCCATGGTGCTCAGTGTGCTGACTTGTCCAGGAACTGCCGGTTGTTGGGGACTGATGTTTCTTTCCCCTAAAGGGGGTGTGTACTGGCTTCATGCACCCTTTCCTAGGTTAAAGGTCGCCAGCTAACATCCACATTGTTGAGAAGAGAAAGGGCAAGCAGTATGGCCAACTCAAAGAAAGACCCCGTGAACTCAGCTCCTAACTGTGAGTCCAGAGTGGATCATGACTTTGCCCTCTGTCATCCTGCTCAGTCTAAGGGAAGGAAGATGGCTCCAAACTGCTCACCATCCCGGGGACTCCACTGTGGAGACATACCAGAGGAGAAATAGTTAAGATCATAAGTGTTCTAGAAGTCGAGGCGAGCTGCGCGATATTGCAAAGTACTAAAACATACTGAGTCACAAAGTTTAAGTTGTGAATTTTACAGAGTGTGAATCTGATTTCAGAAAAAAAATTCAGAAAGTACTGTTTAAAATAGCAAAAACTGGAAACAGCCAAAATGCCTAGTTATAGAATTTAAACTACATATTCTGTGATATAAATAGAACTGAACAAAATATACAGCTGTTAAAAATATATTACTCAGATTATCAATATATGGAAAGGTAGATGGGGCTCACTAAGAAAGGGCAAAGGGCATTCTAGACCAATCGCAGGTTGTCACACATCAAGCCAACCTTGGTGGGAACAGGCATTTTAAGATCGCTCCTCTCCTGGTAAACCTGGAGAGCATCTCTATTTGTTAATTACGCCCATGGATATCATCTAATTTAATACAGAAAAACACCCAGAGAACACTACCAGGCTTCTCCGCACTATAAAAGGTGAGCTGGGGGTCACGCCTCCAGAAATGATCTAATACCCTCTCCCACTGCTTTGGTGCTTTGGGAGAGCTGGGTTTCCCAGCTAAAATAGATACTTTAACGAAACAAAGGAAAAACTACTCAAAGCCAGCAGCAGTCCCTATCGACGTCTTCTGGGACCGCTAAAAATAAAGACGTGAGAGCAGAGCAGCAGAGAGACTGTCTGACTGCAGGCTGCTTCTCCCCAGCTCCCCGTCGCCCTCCCTCTGCACGGGAGGATGCAGCCACCCAGCTCAGCCTGCAGACAGCACAGCAGATGGTCACGCGGGTGAAGGAAAGCAGGACAACTGGTGTTACCTGGGAGGACCCTGGCTGTTTTGGTCCCTTGGTGAGAGGCACAGGGCAGTCTCTCTAACTCACGATCCTTTCCCTAGAGCCTGGATAGAGACCCTGCCCAGGAGAGACAGCCTCAGGGAGTGCCCCGTGCAGAGGGACGCTGGGTTGGTATGGAGTGCCCAAAAATACAAGGTAGTGAGGGAGGCTGATTCCTGAGGCCTGGGCACTGAGAGGATGAGGAACACAATGGCTAGAGGCTTGGGTTCTGATGATCCAGAGGCTGCTTCAAACCCAGAGCACACACTACTGAACCTCCGCTGTTAAAGACAAGATTCCTCTGCCAGCCATGTGGAGTCTCTGTCACATTGCAGCAGGTGACCTCACCAAGGTCACACCCAATGCCCCTGCTGCCACAGCAGGAGACCCCCCTGAAGGCCCCAGGGCATCTGTGACTGGGGGAAGGGGTCAGGGACTCCTGCGGGTGGAACCCAGGTCAGACACTGCAGGGTTACTGCTGGCTCCTTCTTTTCTCCTCCAGGGTGCCCCCAGCCTGTGCTGCAGCCTCTGCAGCAAGCTCCACTGAGCCAAAGGCTGCGGCAGAAGCTGTGGAGGGGAGGGAGCTGGGGAGCTGCTGCCGTCCAGGTGGGTGGGGTGGGAGAGAAAGAGCCAAATGACCTTGCAGTTCAAAAGTTCCTTCCTGGCTACTGCCAAGCAGGGGAGGGGCGAGGGGAGGATAGGCAAGGGTAGTGGCTCCTCCCCTCCCAGAAGGCAGGGTACTGTGTAAACTCACCAGCATCTACCCCTGGGTAGGAATAATGCAGGAGTGGGGGGGGGCAGTGGACAGGGAAGGGCTTGTGACCTTGGTCTTTTTGCTTAAAATTCAAACTGTAGGACTCAGCCCTGGAAACACTGAGCCCACACTGAGGCCAACAGGAACCGTCACTCATTGAAGCCCACCATGGCCACCAGATGTTGGCACCTGGGTGGATCTGCAGTTCCTGTCCAGAAGGTGGGGGAGGGAACTGTACTCGAGTCACAGAGCTTCTGTAGGCACCTCCTGAGGGTGCCAATAAGACTGTGCTCATCCTCTACCTGTCCTTGGTCTAGGAGCTTGGAGACCTCTCCTCTAGCCAAGTCATACATTGGAGTATGAGGGGGTGGGCCCTGGGAATTCCTACAGCTGCAGAAGGTGGGCATACATCTGTGTGGGGTGGTGGCACTGTGCAGTGTGTCAAGTGTGAGAGCTGGGGCCACAGTGCTGGCCTACAGGCAGACTCCTTCACTCCAGCCAAGGACTGGACAGACAACCATCCACTTCCTTTAGAGAAGGAAGTAATTGGCCAGGGATTGTCCCATCTCATACGGCTACTGGGGACATAGCAACAGTTAGCTGTTTAAATTATTATTATATGATTGTTATTATATGATGATGTAAGAACCCATGTTGTAAAATGCAGTGATCAAAATTTTTAATAACAGGGGCTGGAGAGATTTTAACCCCGGGCTCAGCGGTTAAAAACACTTATTGCTCTTGCCGAAGATCTGCATTCAGTTCCCAGCACCCCGTGGTGATGCACAACTGTCCGGGTCTCCAGTCCCAGGGGACCCAGCGTCCTCTTCTGACCTCCCTGGGCAAAATGCTAATACACATAACATAATGACTTAAATATAAAAATACTTTTAATTATAACAGGACCAGAAGGTTGGCTTGGTGAGCAATGGCCACCAAGCCTGATGATCTGAGTTCAACATCTAGGAGACACACAGAGGAAGAACTGACTCCAAAGACTGCCCTCTAACCTCCACAAGATCACAAGACCCTTATGTGTATGCAGCGCGCGCGCACGCACACACACACTTCTAAAAATTTTGTACTAACATTGGAGAATGTCAAAGCTCAAAGCTACCTTATCTGTCATCACCTGCAAAACCTACTCTTGCCAGAGATGTAAAAGTGACACACTGAGGTCACCTTGCTAGAGGCAGAGACAAGTGTAACACTGTCTCCTGACCCCGGACTGACACCATTCACACAGCACTTTGTAAGATGGGTGCCCTCCTGGCACCCACAAGCATGTGAGAGACACAGCGAGGCCAGCACCGGAGAAGAGAGGCCCTGCAGAGAGCAATGGAAGTCTGTGGCTTCCGGAAGGAGTGGCCAATAAAGGCCCCTATGCAGGAAGAGCAAAGGCGCTAGAGGTCACCTGAGAGGGAGGAGGGCATAGGAGTGGCTGCCACCTCCCAGGCGGTGGCATCACTCACGCAAGCACAAAACCTCACAGCTGCAATGACCCACATTACAGTAGCGCAAAGCCCACATTAGCTGACTGCGGCAGCGCATCCCCAGAGTCCAGCACCAGGAAAGCAGAGGCTAACGGACTGGAAGTTCAAGGTCATCCCTGGCTATGTAGCAATTTTGAGGCCAGCCTGGGCTACAAGACTCTGTCTCAGAAAAATACACAGACAGACAGACAGACAGACAGACAGACAGACTTACATAGACACACACACGCCTGGAGTAACCTCCAGCACGGACCTCTTGTCAGCAGTTTCAAGGGTCTGAACCAGGTGCATGTCACTGCACCAAATGCCTCCTATGGCATCACTGACAATTTGGGCTTTGCCACCAGGTCCCTGCAGGTCAGCTCCTGCAGCACACAGCAAGAGGCCTGGAGGGAGGTTACATACCAACAGAAATCCTCCCTCCAAGCAGAGCTGGCCACGGTGCACAGGCGTGGCTGGCACTCCAGACTGCAGAGCCTGGCATGCCACCGAATACCAGGCAGGCAAGGCTGAGGAGCCGTGGGCACCAGAGCTCTCACGCACCTTCCGCATCCACCATCTCCTTCAGGACAATCTCCACCCGCTCCACATGGTGCCTGTCCCAGAGGCCGTCCAGGGCCTTGCGGTTCTGATCTCGGAAGGGCAGGATCTGAGCCACGGCCTGTCAGGGAGGAAGACTGGTCATCCCAGGTTCTTGGGTGAAAGAAGCCTGGCTCTCGAGCCCAGGGAGAAAGTCGTCTGTGGGCACCAGCTCCTAGACCTCAGGACGCACAGCTCCATGGAAATGCTCAAAACTAAATGACCTAAACGATTCCCAGCCAAGAAAGAGCATGCTTAAACTGACTGTCTTCCTGTGCTGTAGCCCAGTGGTGGGTGCTGGCCTCACATGCATGAGACCCTAGGTTCAATCTGCAGTACAAAGAGGGTGGAAAAGGAAAAAATGAACCCTCTCTTTTAAGACTATCAATTTTTAATAAAATCATTTAATGACAAAATTGTAACATGAAAAACTTTAAACTGTATACATTTGATACTATTCCTTTCCATTTCCAGGCCAATGAAACCCTATCCAGCCTGGCCCTGGTCTGGGGACTGCAATCCGAGATTATCTCCACGACAGAAGCAAAGGGTTGGATGGAAAATGAAGCACCTGCCTGGGTAGTTAGCTCTCTACCCAGTATGTGGCCCAGCTCAGCAGTCTGGGTACCAAAGAGTACAGGTGCACTGCGGTCTACACTGGCGATGCTGGCGACTGATAGTGGACTGATGCTGCCCTCTATCTCCAGGGGATCCTCCAAGCTCCTGTCTACGCTTCGCTGAAGTGCTTGAACTCAGGGTCCACTTCCCTGTCTCAGGTCTAAGTTGTTATCAGCTTTGTGCCTCAAGACAGAATTCAAGACGACAAAGATTTTTATTTTAAAAAGGCAGATGGGTGAGTGTAGTGATATTTCATTTGTATTTTAATAAGTGAAGTTTGCCTGAAGTTCAGAGAGTAAAACAGCCACACTAGTCAGCCTTACTGTAGACCAGGCAGTGGTGACACACACTTTAAATCCCAGTAGCCACACTAGTTTGCCAAAGAAACCGGGTGGTAATGGTACACACCTTTAATCCTAGCACTAAAGAGGATTATAAAACGGGAGGAGACAGCTCTCAGACACAGTCTCATTCTGAGATTCCTGGAGACAGAATCACCATTTTGGACTGAGGTAGAGGTAAGAGCCAATGGCTGGCTGTTTTGCTTTTCTGACCTTCAAATTGAACTCCAATTTCTGTCTCTGGGTTTTTATTAATCATGCTACAGGTGAGGGACTTAAGCTAACTCTAATTCTCACAGCATTCCCAAATGAAAGCCAGTTCCAGACATCAGAGTCCCTGGACCACTTCTGCAGAGAAGGCAGGTCAATACGGAGGAATGAGAATGCACTCTCTCTCTGGGAAGCCAAGACAAGGAGACAGAAAGTGGTCTTGCCTGCTATTCACTGGCTCCTCTGCTTCCACATCTCCCGTCTCCCTTCGGGAAGACCATGGGTGCCGAGGGATCCCAACACCCTAACCCAATTCTACATTCGATAGTAAGTCCTTGATGTCAGCCCCATGGTACCCCACATAGCACAGCCATGCCAGGCTCCAAGCTGCAGCTCACCTGCTTGCCCAGGTAATGGTCTACTCGATACATCTCCTCTTCCTGGAAAAAGCTCCCAAGCTCTGAAGCCAGCTGCTGGGCTGAGAGGTGGTCATGGCCAAAGGGTTTTTCAAGAACAACCCGTAGCCAGGCGCCTGGGTGCGGTCGGCAGCTGCTGTTGATGTTGCGGGCAATGTCTGCATAGGCAAAGGGAGGCACAGAGAAGTAGAAGATCCTGCCAGCTTCCCAGAGCCCGTCTTGCTGGACCTGGGTCTCAATGTCCTTGTTCAGGGTCTGATAGTCCTCAGCTGTCTTCAGCTGGCGGTACTGGCTCAGCTGCAGAAACTGACCCTTGAGTTCATCACAGTGACTGGGTGCCAAGTCCTTGGGGCAGGAGAGGGATTCTAAGGCCTTGTCCATGAGCTTCTGGCCCTGCTCGGGGGCTGTCAGGGCGGCCCCATGGAAGCTGAAACTATGGCCCTTCCCAGCCTCGTCCAGGTACAGCTGGAACAGGCCCTGCCACAGGTACTTCTTAGCAAGGTCCCCAGTTGCTCCCAGCAGGATTATGGAAACATGCCCCTTGAATTCCTGGGCTTGCAGGCAGCCCAGAAGGGCCAAGCACATTGCTGCTACGAGCATCTTCCAAATTTTTGGGTACCTGGGAAGAACAGACAAGGAACGAGGAAGCATCAGACATGGCTCAGGAGGTTAGAATGTGGAAATAACACAGCTAGGGCATCAAACATTTCCTGCCTGGCAAGAAACAACCACATGTTACTCGGGGAAACATTATAGTCACTCAGCATTCCCCTCCCTCCCGAGCAGCCTGGCTTCTGTGCCAGGAAGTCGGTGTTTAGGCGCTTGCTCTGCAAGCAGGAAATGTGCCCGGGAAAGTCCTAGGCCATGTGATGGAACCAGGACATTCTGCTGCTAGGAGCACCCCAGAGAGGCCCCCAGTGCTGAGAGAGGAGTGGACCCCTTCACAGCCACAACCAGCCTCTGCCATGAGCACAGGCTAGCTGGACAGCAGGGGAACCCTAACCCAGGAAGAGCAGCAGGCGAGAAGGCACGACCACCTTCTCGCACCCACCACTCAGCTCTTTCCCATGTCTACTGGACTCCATGCACAAAATCCCAACTACTCGAGGGTGGGGGTGGGGCAGCAAGACGGTTCAGTGTGAAATACACCCGCCCCACCCCCGACCCGGCAATCCAAGTCCATTCCCTGGGACCCGCATGGTGGAAGGAGAGAATCAGCTCCTGTAAGCTGTCCTCTGACCTCCTCCATGTATATGTGTGTGTGTGTGTGTGTGTGCGCACGGAAATCACAGGCTCTGGGGGTGGGGTGGGGTGTGTGTGGCTCAGTTATAAACTGTTCAGTATAACAAGGACACTGAGTCCCATCCTCAACACAGGAAGGAAAAAGAAAAGGTATGTGGGTGAGGCAGAGGCAGAAGCAGGCAGATCTCTGTGAGTTCGAGGCCAGCCTGGTCTATAGAGCAAGTTCCAGGACAGTCAGGACTACACTGAGAAACCCTGTCTGAAAAACAAACAAAACCAACCCGATAATAAAATCGAAAACCACAACAAACAAGTAAACCAAAGAATGGGCAGCAGTGCCTGAGTGTGCCCCCAGCTCCGCTCCCTAAGAATCCGACGGCTTAACCAGCGACACCAGTTTCCGCTGCCTCCATCACAGGTTTGTAGCAAGAATAAAATAAGCCCCACATTTCCGCGATGCTTAGGGGAGCACCTGCTGCCTTTCAGCCACTGTTTACAGGAGAGCTGATGCATAAACGTAATTTGCAGTGGCATTCATTTGATTTTAACAAACAAAGCTTGCCAAAGTTACGTGTTACTTAGTAGGTTTTTTTAATTTTCAGGGGTGTTATATGTGCTACTTGGTTTTTTATTTATTCTTTGTGTCTTTCACGTCATGCCTTCCAATCCCACCCATCTCCCTCTTACCCCTCCATAATAAAACAAAATAAAATTAAAAAGAAGGGGAAAAAGGGAGATCAGAGTCAAACAGCCACACTGGTCAGCCTCACAGACCAGGCAGTGGTGACACACGCCTTTAATCCCAGTAGCCACACTAGTTTGCCATAGAAACCGGGCGGTAATGTTGCATGTCTTTAATCACAGCCCTAGAGAGGAATATAAAATGGGAGGAGTGGCTCTCTCACACAGTCACAGTCTCGTTCTGAAATTCCTGGAGGCAGGGTTGCCATTTTGGACTGAGGTAGAGATAAGAGTCAATGACCGGCTGTTTTGCTTTTCTGACCTTCAGGCTGAACTCTAATATCTGTCTCTGGGTTTTGATTAGAAGTGCTAATATATGTGTCAATCACAAACCCAAACGCTCTCAGTCCGGTCTTACTGGACCCAGACCAGGCCCTGAGGACCCATACAGGACAGTTTAACTACAGCCCCTTTGCATGTGGAAAGGCTGAGATGCTGTGGGATGAAGCTTCCATGGTGACAGAGTGGCAAGCTGGGTCCTTGCAATTGCTTAGCTGGCCTTCCACAGGCAAACATGCCTTCCTGGCCAGCTTTTCCAGCCTGACTTGTGTCAGCTGGCATATCTAAGAGGCAAGAGGCCTGGATCAAGTCACAAGAGCACCTGGGTATTTACTGGGCTGGTTTTCTGTCTGTTCTGGCCCAGCGCTGTGTTTATATCACCATAGTCCTCAGGCTTTGGGAAAGGGCGGAAGGAATCAAAGAGGACCCACAGCTATGGGAAGTAAAGGTGGAAACAGGGCATAGTACAGAGGTGTAAAGGTGAAGGCAATGACAGAAACTGGCTGAACACCATTCATAAACCAGACAGCATGAACAGAATAAACACGGCCACACAGATGGGAGACTGGAGTTTACAGAGACCATCGAACATATAAAAGCTCCCACAGAGTTGACCAGCCTACCAGCACCGTGCAGTTGATATTAAATTTACCTCTGTTTATTTGATTGTTGTTGCTATTATATGAAACAGGGTCTTACTTTGTAGCCCAGGCTGGCCTCACACTCATGGCAATCCCCCTGCCTCAGTCTCTGAAAGTGCTGGGATTACAGCCATACACCTGCTTTTATCTGGTCCTAGTCTTCCTTCCTCATCTCTCTGGGGACCCACCACCATGATGGCTCTAGTGACACCCAAGTAAGACAAAGGTTCAATAACAGTGTCTGTGCCAGCATCCACAAGACACACTTTCCTCTGCTCAAAGGGCCCGAGCAGCTCCAGCCTTCCTCTCCTGCTCACCCTGGATCTCTGCTAGTTCTCAAACACCAGACGGACTACAGGACATTCCATTTTTCTCTGCTTCCCAATTCCTGTCCTTGGCACCTGGGCCTTTCTTTCTCCACTGGCAACAGCTCTGCCCCGGGGGAAGGAAAAGCTGCAAGGTCAGTGCAGGAGAAATCTGAAGCCCAGAGAACAGCCTGGAGAAGGAGGAGGCGCCAGCTGGCAAGCTGCTCGCCAAACTCCTGATCCGGTCCTGGGAGCCAGGGCTCGGGATGTGCTGGTACAGAGAGAAGCTGGGGAGTCTTGCAGGGGCTGGCAGGTGGGGGAGCCCAAGGCCGCCTCTCTGAGGACAATGGGAATGGATGGCACCTGACCCACACTGCCTTCTGACCCTCAACGACTCCGGTTTCCTCTGCCAGGTGTGTTCTGGACCTAATGCCCAGGTAAACCAGTCTTCTCTCTGGCATTCCAGAACTCCTGAAGCAAGCAACACTGGGAATTACAACAGCATGTTTGCTGAGTGGTTACTAAGCACCGACACAACTACTCTTCCTGAAAGCAGCTTTATGTGTTGCTTAGTTTTTTTAACTTTCAGGGGTGTTAGACGTGTTCCTTGGTTTTTTAACTTTCTTTTTATCTATTCTTTGTGTCTTTCACATCATGTCTCCCAATCCCAACCCTCCAGAATAAAACAAAATAAAATGTAAGAGAAAAAAGGAAAAGAAGGTGAGAAGGGGAAAATCTCGACCTGGAAGCTGCGGTGTGACACGGCAGTCAAGCAGTAAACCCTTGAGCCACACATTTTTACACGCAGGCGTTCATCGCAAAGAATCATTGGTCTGATTCAAGGCCCCTGGTTTGTGCTATACCATCAATGCTGGGCCCTCTCTGGAACTCTTCCCGGATATCCTGTTGCTACCACAGACCCCACTCCCACTCCTCACTCCTGTCCATCAGATCACAGATAGGCTGGATGTTGGGGTGGGCCAACACAGAACCCTGGCTCTGGGCCTGGGTAGTTGCAAGGTTGGTCAACCCACCAGCTCTCCCCTGTCTTCACCACCAGGGTGAGCTCTCCTGCATTGCCCTGGCCAGTTCACCCCTCGCTGAGGGGATAAGTAAGGGGCGGGGCCATTTCTCTGGCTTTCGCGTCTTTAGAGTCAGTTCTTCCACACCTACACCTTCAGGGACAGCTCTACTGTTGCCCAGGTGAGATGCGGGGGCCACTCTCCCGAGTGCTGCAGCTGGTGAAGGGCAGGGACAGCTCCCCCACTCTTAGGACCTCAGGGCAGGCTCTTCCAACTGCCTCAGGCTTTGATGGGGGTGCTGCTGCCACAAGACAGATGAGTACTGGGGACAGCTCCCCCATGCTCACAACTAGGGGCTGGCTCACCCACACGTCCACCAACATGGTCAGCTCTACTGTGCTACCCAGGCGAGGTGCAGAGCCTGCTCTCTCAAATGTTACAGCTGTTGGAGGCAGGGACATGAATCCTGCTCTTCTGACCTCAGGTGTTGATGGGGAGGGGGCGTGTTACTTGTTTTTACTATGACCCTGTTTTTTAACCTTAACAGCATAGCTCAGGCTGTAGTGTGTGCTTGAGTTCCCTGGGGAACTGTTTAAGACGCAGATTCTGATGGAGAGGCCAAAGCTGCCAGGTTCCAGAACACTGAGCACAGGAGGCATCTGCATCCAAACAGACAAGCCTGAGAGTCCACTGGGTGGCGAAGAGGACTAGTTGCTTCCAGAGTTAGATCCCCAGCACCCACAATGCAGGTCACAACTCTAACTCCAGTCCCAGGGCATCCAATGCCCTTTCTAGCCTCTGAGGACGCCAGGCAGGCACACGGTGCATGTGAAACACCCATACACACAAAAGGAAAAATAAAATACACACACGCCTGGCCTCCTAGTCTCATCACCACGTCAGAACGATCCTGCTCGAGCTCGACCTGAGACGCTTTAGTTGACATAAATGGCTTTGACTAGGTCCTGTGTTGACTGTGGAAGCCAACATGAACTGGGTGAGCCAGCTGCACGGCTTCAGCTACTGGTTCTGACACGATTCTCATACTACAGTTGAGGAGACTAGGAGGAATGAATTACGAACCATAAAGCTCACGCTACCACGCTAACCCTCTTTCTTAGTCAATCACGGCATGGAGGTTCCAAGCACTGGCCTTCACCCTCCTAGCCGCAGGACCCTTGGAAACAACTTAATCCATTTTGGTCCTGACTTCTTCACCTATAAAACATGGCGGAAACCAGGCATGTTGGATCGTATCTACGGTCCTAGTCCTTGAGATGTTGAGGCAGGAGAGTCAAAAGTTCAAGGCCAGCTTGGGCTACAGATGGGAGTTTGAGGTCAGTCTGGACAACTTAGAGAGACCCTGTCTCAAAAGTAAGAGTGGGAAAG